CGCGAATTTTTAGAAATTCTACCTTTTTTAACTCCACAGTACGATCATTTCTATTCGATATTAATCGAGACTCCCGGCACAGAATCCTTCCGTGTTTGCTCTTTCTTCAAAAGGGAGAGAAAAAGAGAAAAATCAACGCGTATTTCTAGAAATCCAACAAATTCTACTTTCCTTCACTTCGCAGTACGATCCTTTCGATTCGATATTAATTGAGATTTCGAACTCAGAATAACGTGCACACGAATCTTCCGCATTAAAATTAATGAAAAGAAATTCTACCTCTTTTCACTTCACAGTACGATCATTTTAATTCGATATTAACCAGTCAGCTGTTGCGACCTCTTTGGAAAGTGTGTGCCTGAAACGTGTCGCCAAAAGTAAGCGACGACGAGTATACTCGTCAAGCACAGAGTATCTGTGGCTGTTATAATATAGAATTAAGCTGTAACGAAACGACTGTTTTATTTTCTAACTTTATTACCGACAGGGCTGTTTGGTAACTGCCCCGAGGTGACGAATGTGTGAAAAAAGCAAATAAAAAAAATAAAAAAAAAAGAAGTAAAAAGCAGAGTAGCAGTAGTTTAATGTTTCAGTTTTCTTTTTCAATTACTTTTTACGCATGACGAGTATACTCGTCGTGACACAAAATACTGCCATTTCTTCACGACGAGTATACTCGTCGCAAACAGCCAACTGGTTAACCGGGACTCCGGGCACAGAATCGTCCATGTCCGCCCTTTCTTCGAGAAGAAGAGAGAAAGAGAAAACTCGACGTGAATTTCTAGAAATTCTACCCTTTTTCACTTCGCGGTACGATCATTTCTACTGAATATTAATCGAGATTCTGGACACAGAGTCGTTTTCCTAAGGTGCACACGAATCTTCCGCATTCGCTTTTTCTCCAAGAGGGAGAGAAAAATCGAACAGGCGTTCGATAGGCGTCACGCGAAATTTCTAACGCACCACCTGGTCCGGGCGAATGCAAAACAGGTTGTACTTGAACAAGAAAAAGACGTATACTTTCACCTCGTGGAATTATGTAATTCCGTCGACATGGGGGACCTTATCACGCCTTCCGTAGATTCCGTTTCATTTCTCCCTACGTTCACCGAATCACATCTAATCTTACCTGCAAATAATAGAAAATTCGCTAACCCCGATAAATTTTGGCAATTTCGTCGACAAATAATCCTCGCCTACGATCGAATTTCCCCGAGATCCTAACCTTTTCCCCCCGAAAAACGAGTGGAAGATGGAATTCGAGTGACGAAGCCACGACAGAGTGAGAGAGAGAGAGAGACTGGAGGAGGAATGCAGACGACGAGTTTGTAAAATGTGAGCCGTGTGGCCTGTTAACGATCCTGATCGAGCTGGAAGGGAGTTAACGTCGTCCCTTCGTTAGCCGTCGTTTCAAGATTCACGTGAAACGCGTTGTTCGTAACCTAACCAACTGTTGGAGCTTCTGAATGTTATTGATTTCCGGCAGGAACCTGCTCGAGCGTCGAATCCCGGTTGCGACGTTTCCTCGTCCAGCTGGAAATTTTCTTACAAATCTTTGTCTCGAAAAATATCCCAGGAATATTCTTTCCCGTACAAATCCTTCCACCTTTTCACCGTTCAACCTTAGATACATCTTCCTTTACTCAACTCACGAGGAACTACGAATATCCTCTCTGAGAAGAACATCTACCTGTACGAAATTCTTCAGCCTGCATAACTACGAGAAGAGACTTAGATGCATCTCTCCTACTTAACCCTTACGTCGGTAGCCACTGTTGTGTACCTTATCGCCCGATTTTAGCAGTTTTCCCACAGCAAAATTCGAACCTTTCACCTGGAGGATCGAACATTTTACCTGAGAAAACGTGCAAACGGGTACCTGGCTGTTAACCCTTTGCGGTCCAAATCATCTGGTCACTCTCTCGTCTAGTTTCCCTTTATCTCAATATTTCGGCGTAATACTTGTTACAAAATACCAAGTTTCGGTGTAACATTAATGTACAAAAGAATGGTTCACTATCGTTTACGATTTATCCGAAGGCAAAAATTCTTGACTCGACGCCGGACAGCAAAGGGTTAATCTACGAAAGAAATATCGTCTCTGAAAAGAGGATCGAATCTAGTTAACCACCTGCAAAAACACTTCTATACTTATACCTTCGCGTAAGTGTGTAATAATATCGACGGAAAGAAAAGGGAAACTGTATACAGCCATGGTTAGGATAATGAGTAAACCGTGTTCTGGATAAGAGGGGGGATTAGATAGTGGAAGGAAGGCGGCGAGGAAGTTTGGTGACCATATGAACGATGGACCTGCTTAGGTCGCCTCGGCGAGCAGCTCGGTGTGTGCCAGTCCCACGGGATCCGGGGTACTGGAGACCCCGCTGTCTGTGAAGAGTGCCGGCGCCAGTCCACCGCAGTCCAGCGGCAAACACCTGCACATTAACCTGGGCAATCAGTTCAGGGCGGGTGGCTCCCTACCCAATGTTAACAACAACGCGAATTGCGGGACAGACGCGAAAGAACACGCATCGCCGCACAACGCCGCTATCCACTCGATCGACCTTAAGGTATACTTGGTCATCTAACCAGCTCGAGCCAATCTTAGTTTTTCCGTTCCGTCCTTTGTCTTATATATATTTAGATATATTGTATACGTAGTGTATATTGCACTCATTTTTGTCTTTTCGTTCTCCTCCTACCTGCCCCACTCGTATCGCGTGCTCGTAACCGTCCAATCGATCACTCTCCGTAGATGATCCGCCCTTTAAACGGCTTTTAACCCCTTGCCTTACGGAGCGTCGTAGGTCAAACGTCGAAAATTTCGTCTGTAACGCACTGTGAATTTTTTTTATAGCATTCCTATTTTTGATTCTGTCGCCGCTGCGAGAAGTCTAACTTGTTATCGGTATTTTGGAGAAATTTCGTACGGAAGTTTTTGGCTTTACCTTGTAGCTTTGTATGAAAAGTCTGTGTTATTGGTACCGCACAGAAATTTCATCGGCTCTCCGATTTTTACCGTTTCTACGAAAAGCCCGTGTTATCGGCGTCACGCGGAAATTTCACCGCGCCTCTGTAAAAATGAATAGAGCGACTTGCGCGAAGGCCTTCGAACACATTTTCAATTTTCCCGTTTCGATGGAAAGTCTAGAAGTCCGTGTTATCGGTGTTGCCCAGAAATTTCATCGAGTCTCTCGAAACAGTGAAACTTGGAATATAGAAGAAAAATGGAGGAAAAAGGTCCCGAGGCAAGGGATTCTCCGAAGCATCGCGAAAATTGACGTGCCTACGGGCCACGGATGCGCGGTATTGAAATTACATCGGTGTTGGTTCGATCAATTACACGGACATTATGGGAGATCTCTACTTGTTGCGAGTTCGCGTTCGAAGCGTGACTCATGACTGGAGCAACGTACGGGCGATCGCGTGCCTCCTTTCATTAAACCGACTATTTCCACTCGCCGTGTAAAAATAGACACTCGAAGATTTTTCTCCGTAGTCAGGACGTATTGCTCCCTTCGACGTTGCTTATCTCTCTCTCTCACTCTTCCAATTCGCCGCGCGGAATAAAAAACGCACGTCGTCGTCGAAGAACGAAACGTCTGCGACTGGTCGTTCGACTCGCGAATATATCGGCGATATCGATGGCGGAACGCGTTAACCTCGAGCTGCTGGAGTTCGCTGTTAGTTAACCAGCTGCTCCTGGAACGATCGCTTCCGTTACGCGACACCACGTGCACCACGTCCGCGACACGCGGGTCAATCGAATCTCTCCCTTCCATTCTCTTCTCATTTTCTTTCTCTCTCTCTTTTTTCGTACGATCTTTCTGCACGATTACCACCGCATGAACACTTTTGTTTAACAGTAGTTGGTTACATGTAGCGACGAACGTTTCGACGCACCGTGTGCGTGGAGAGCTGCAGCAGCGAGTCTTCGAGGAGAGAATCGCGCGCTTGCCCGGCGAAACTGAACGGTAAACTTGGGAAACTTTTCACGTACGTAGTTTTTCCTCCTACCGCGTGATGCGCGATAGAAGGTAATTTGAATGGTAAAACGGGTCAAAGTCCGATCACAACGATAACACGTCCCGTTCGATTATTTCAACGCTAGCCCGGTGGAAGTTCTTCTTGTCCCTTTTCGGCAAGTTTTTCTTCCTCTCGGTTCCGTTCTTCGAAACCGCGGGCAACGGTTGCTGGTAATAAGGAAAGTTGGAAAGTCTGCCGCGAACTTTTCCATCGGCCGCGACAAACTTCCTGTATCGGCGTTTCTTTCGCGCACCTTTCAGTGAAAACGACATAAATAATCGCGGCGTGTCGCGTCGTTAGCCTTGGAATATTTGTTAAACAATACGGCGAACGGTAAACGATTCGCCTTTCGAACGTGCCGAGCAACGTGGAGGAATTGATGGAAGAAAAACGAAAAGAGAAATTCTCTTCTGGGAAAAAAATTGGTGTCGTTTCGCAAAATTTTTCCGAAAGGAAGCTACCAACGCGATCGGGGATAATTTACGAAAGACACCACGGCGTAACGACGCATGTTTATCGTTAAGACGGAGCCGTTACGAGATTATGCGAAACGCAAAGGATACCAATTATCGGACGTCTGCTTGGATTTTGCGTATTATTTGACGGAACGAGGAAGCGGCTGTTCGGTGTTTCGCGCAGACCTACAATTACGCTCGTGCTCGGAGACATTCGCGAATTAGATTGTCATGTACGATAAATTATAGTATCAATGGACCTGGAATCGTGCGCGGCGTTCGCCGATTACGCAACCCGCGGCCACGCTTTTATTATCGTTTTCTCCGTCTTTTTTTTTTTCTTTCGTTCTCGCCGAGAAATTCATCGCGCCGACAAAATTCGCCAATTTTTTCCCTGCGTCGAGAAAATTCATACCTACCCGCGATTTTTCTCCGCCTTCTTTCTTCTCGTGCCTGGAAACAAGAAAAATTGAACACCTCGGTGAATTTACGCTCGTTTATTTTTCTCTCTCACTTTGTTTAACGACTTGAGTTATAGTTTTCTGTTTATTCTCTTCAAGCGACTGCAACGTTAGGTGTATTCCTTGTCAACTATTTGAACCGCTGAAATCTTCTCCGGTTTGCATCGAAGATGCATGTTTCTTTTTTTTTTTTTTTTCGTCGTTCAGCATTGTTACAGTTAATGTTCGCGTACTTGATCCTCTTCGAGCCGGGTTTTTTTCTTTAACGTTTGTCCGTTCTTGCACGTCGAAGGTTCCGAAGCTCCGTGAGATTTGCTTCGTTTCTCTCGCCCTTAGAGAATGAACCACACCTGGAAGAACAACGTGGTCGGGATTGCAGTAAACGTGGAAACGGCGTTGCAGCTCTATTTGCATGCTGTTTTTCAGCAGTTTTTTTTTTTTTCTTTACGTTCGCTGCTGTGTTGCGTACGCAGCCCTGGCGAAAAGTATCAGGCACCTTTATCGTCGGAATTTACTGGAAAAACTATTTCTTTCCTAGTTTTCTATTGCCCGTCGTCCTTTGTCGGCGAGTTTAAAGGAATTTTCAAAGGGTTGACAAGGTTTATAAGCGATCCTTAGTCTACGTTTTGTGTTTTTGGAAGTCGCACCGCGGCTAATTTTTTTCAACGTTAGAACATTTTCCTCGAAATGTGCGGGAAAAGTGTGACCGTCAACGCGAGTTAATTCTTTTTAGAGAAAAATAGGGTAAAATTTAGAAAGAAATTTCAGTGATTGTCAAACGTTGGCAAAATTAATAAAAAACGATTTTCAAAGTTAGACTATTTTCCTCGAAATGTGCGGGTAAAGAGTGACCATCAACGCGAGTTAATTCTTTTTAGAGAAAAATAGGGTAAAATTTAGAAAGAAATTTCAGTGATTGTCAAACGTTGGCAAAATTAATAAAAAACGATTTTCAAAGTTAGACTATTTTCCTCGAAATGTGCGGGTAAAGAGTGACCATCAACGCGAGTTAATTCTTTTTAGAGAAAAATAGGGTAAAATTTAGAAAGAAATTTCAGTGATTGTCAAACGTTGGCAAAATTAATAAAAAACGATTTTCAAAGTTAGACTATTTTCCTCGAAATGTGCGGGTAAAGAGTGACCATCAACGCGAGTTAATTCTTTTTAGAGAAAAATAGGGTAAAATTTAGAAAGAAATTGCTGCAGAGAAAAATAGGGTAAAATTTAGAAAGAAATTTCAGTGATTGTCAAACGTTGGCAAAATTAATAGAAAATGATTTCCAAAGTTGGAAAATTTTCCTCGAAATGTGCGGGTAAAGAGTGACCATCAACACGAGTTTCAAAGTTAGACTATTTTCCTCGAAATGTGCGGGTAAAGAGTGACCGTCAACGCGAGTTAATTCTTTTTAGAGAAAAATAGGGTAAAATTTAGAAAGAAATTTCAGTGATTATCAAACGTTGGCAAAATGAATAAAAAACGATTTTCAAAGTTAGACAATTTTCCTCGAACGCAAGTTAATTCCTTAAAAAAAAAAACAAGAAAAAAAACAGGGAGCAGAAATTAGAAAGAAATTGCAGTGATTATTTTCACATTTCAGTACTTTGAACTATTATCAAAAAGTTCATATTTCACAGTGCCTGATACTTTCAGCCAAGGCTGCATGTCCATGTTCGAATCATAGATGTTGATTGCATTTGAAGTGCATGTTAATTGTTTTCAGTGAAAGTGGATGTATCATTCGTACAGACTAATCGGTTACAGTAATTGTCTCAGGACACTTAGAATTCTACTTTCACTCGCGTTAAAAGCGGCCTACGAAGGAGAGCAAAACGACAGTGAAATGCACTTACGTCTGGTGCAAGCTTCTGGACGCACGTGGCGAGATTGTATATCTTGTTGCAATTGTCGCTGCCCGCTGTAAAATCGAACCGTGTTAAATTAAAAAACAAATTCCAACATTTCCTGGTAAAATTGTCAAATTTGAAATTTCCAAATATTACTTGTCGGTGTACACTGTCCTAGAATAGACTCCGCCCTGTCCTGAAGGTTCTCTGGCAACAGTCCCAGCAACATATCGGTGTCTATGTTAGCCTCTTCATCCACCTAAACGAAACGATTTCTCGATCAGTCGATTCTCGAGTAACCTGAAGATTATCGTCTACTTCGACCTACCAAGCTGAACGCCTCCAGCAAGCAGTACATGTAGCAGGTGATCGATGGATTGTCTAACACCGTTCCTTTGTCCACCTCGTCGATCTGCGCTAAGTTTCGAACCGAGGTGTTACATGAATTTTCGATCACCTTTAAGGACGATGGACTCGCAATTGGTTTCACAAAACACTAGGAACGCAAGCAATAGCTCACACATTTTCAACGCGTTCACTTCGAGTCGAGTTTGTAATCAAATTTCCAATCAATCCAAAGCTTCGAATCACCTGCCAAGTTGCATCGATATCGAGACTGCTACTAATTCTTTGTAGATTTCAGATAGCACTTTGCCTCGTTTCGAGTGATTTCAATGATAAAAGATTTGTTGAAAATTTTTTATTGTTAACATTTTTCGGAAATTTTTGGAAAATTTTCAACGCACAGTGATTCCAAACACTCGGCCCGTTTTTCATTGAACATTAGCTGCATGCTAACTTAATATTTCCACCACTTTCCCGCTATTTCCGCCGTATTAGGCACCGATCGAACCGTTCTACGGTAAAATAACAGAATACAGCGGGAAAGCGCACGGAGCTTATTTGTATCGCGAAATAAGAAAATCCAGAGAAAAGGAAAGCTACTACAGTGAGCGTGTCGAGCAATAGATACTCGTACACCTCCATTTAAGAAAAATAGAATTTTCAAACGATTTACCGAAAAATCGAAATGTCGACCTAGTTACATCTAGTCCATCGCCTGCAAAGGGGTTAATAGATCTCTGTACTAACCTTGCGTGGTGCCATGCTCGCCCATGCATCGAGCCTTGTCGTCTGCCACCATGTCGAATATCTCCGGAGGTATCCAATCCGGCTACGAAAACAAATTGGAACGTGTTTTGCTGTTTCGCGAAAGAATTTCATTGCAATATCTCGATTCCGCTATAAATAGGAAGATCGTCGGGATCTTGAACGGGAATCGGTTCTCCTTATCTTATCCGCAGGTTTTTTTACAACGGTGATTAGCAAAATTGATTTCGCGATACTCCACGCGAATGTTCCGCCTGATGCAATTCCATCTTAACCTGTCCTCGTTGGAAATCGTCGCAATTAGCGTACGGTACAGAAGTAGCTGATAGAATTTATAATTCAACGGACTCGATATTAGAATAGCTAAAACGGGCTCCGCGGGATCGATAACTCTCGAGGCTGGTCCATTCGAACCGTTCGGAAATAAGAGCAATCTCAGAAGCGTCATTACTCGTATCGTTTATGTAACTACACGGTCTCCTTTTGCGTGTCTTGTTAAATTTCTCTCTCTGCGAGTACCGATAAACATCGACGATAAAGAACAGGACGGAGTAAAAATTCTTAAAAACATTAATTACTGGAAAAGGAACTTTGCACGCTTCAATTAGGGTTTCCGTCTAATCTCGAATCCGCTTGCCCCGGTATCGACTAACCGGCCGCACGAGCATTCGTATCGTTATTATTTCCGCGCGTTAACTGGTTGATGTCTCTGATAAATCCGTGACGAATCGATTAAAACAGCCTTCGTTTCACCGGACAAAACGGGCCTCTTTAACCGTCCAATTTTCTCTCTCTGCTACTTTTCGTCAGCTCTCGACGGAAGAAAAAGTGCAAAAGGCGCCACGTTTGAGAAAGCTTACCGCGGCACACACGAGGACCGCCTGCAAGCACACGAAGGCGAGCAGCAGCAAACCTTGTTTGGTATCCATCGTAGCTCGAGTTAGCACGCCTTCACTATCAATCCGGCCACGATTTCGAGAATACTGTTAATGCGATGCAGGACGCGTCGCGGCGTTTTTATAACGCTTGGACCCGCGCCGTTGGGATGCGGGGACGCGAACGGGATGTGGGCGTGGGTAAGAGAGGGTTACTACCGTGCATCCTTCGTTGATTGAAGTCCTCTGGCCGTTCGGCAGTTGACTGAGCCGTGGCTAATTTTCAGCTGCATTACGGAAGTACGCTTTGGATTACGTGCACGTTTGCGGCCGTGACCATGAGCGCATCCTGTGTCCTGTTTTCTTCTCTCGAAAAATTCAGACCCCATCTCTCTGGTATTGTTTCTTTCGCAATCTTGAGCGGGGGGCTCTGTTTCGAATTCTTGATTGATTTTTATTGTGGTAGGGGGAAGTGATTGTGATTGGTAATTAGTTGGATTTTGTTTTTTTTTAATAATTTCTTGGAGAGAGATGAAACTTTATCGTTTTCTTTTTTCAAAAAATTCAGGCTCGACCTCTCTGTTTTTATTTTTCGTATTCTTAAACGTGGACTTTGTTTGGATTTCTTAATTAAGTTTCCTGGCATTGGGGGAAAGTAATGGTAATTGGATTTTTTTTAAAATTATTTCTTAGACAGAGAGGAACCTTTATCGTTTTCTTCTCTTAAAAAATGCAGCCTCCACTTCTCTGTTTTTCGTTTTTCGCAATCTCAAGTGTGGACTCTGTTTCGGATTCTTAATTAATTTTTATTGCATTAAAGGGAAGTGGTAATAATTGGTAATTGGTTTAATTTTTTGTTAATAATTCCTTGGAAAGAGATGAACCTTTGTTGTTTTCTTCTCTCAAAAAATGCAGACCCCTCTTCTCTGTTTTCTTTGTTTTTGCAATCTTGAGTCTGGACTCTGTCTGGGATTCTTCGTTCATTTTTCTGGATTTAATAGGTAGAAGTGATAGTAACAGGTATTTAATTGGATTTCTTTTCAATAATTCTTCAGAAAGGGACGAATCTTCGTCGTTTTCTTCTCTCTCCTCTTCTCTGTTTCTCCTTTTAGCAATCTCGAGTGTGAATTTTCCTGGTACTAGGGACAAATAAGTTGCACTTTTCTTTCAAATAATTCCTCAGAAAGGGACGAATCTTCGTCCTTACGACTGTGAAAAATATTGTCGCGTGGAATCTTAGTCTTATCAGAAGATTTTTCAAACTGGGTTCCTCTTGTTTTAATAATCACTCCGTAAGGGATGAAGCTTTATCGTTACGACTGCAGAGGAGTTCAGTCTTACCAAAGAATTTTTTTCATGGTAATTCCTTCGAAAGGGGCGAACCCTTATCTTCACGCCTGCAGAGAAAATTGTCGCGTCGTATCAAAGGATTTTTTGAAACAATTCCTCAGCAAAGTACGAACCTTGGTCGTTACAGCTGCACAGAAGTTCGCCGTATTAAAAGTTTGTTATTGTCAAAGGATTACTCGAGTGCAAAATAAATATCGTTATATTAGTGAAGACTGCTAATAGTAGTCACCGCTGAAATTGCAGCGTCCGCCTCGTTTCCTCCACTGATTCGCGTTGCCCGCCTCCTCTTCGGCTAATTTTTCATGATTGAAACGTAAAACCGTTCGTTAGAACCTGAAAACTACCGCGTGCCTCCTTGCAATAATAGCCTGTCGCTTACGTAATTCTTTGGAATAATGTTGTTTCTCTGAGGAATTTTTAGTAAAAAATCTAAACCGAACACCGATCGAATTACTTGGTTTGCAGTAGTTGCACGATCGCCACGTCTCTACAATGTAATTACCACTTCGATATCGTGCTTGAGCAACGATCCTCTGATTCACTTTTATCAATTTTACGGTTGGTCGAACGGCTCGACGCTCGTTGAGAAATTTCGTCGCGTTGGTTGGAGAGAATTGGACGACAGAGAGAGAGAGAGAGAGCAGTTGGAAAATTTCCGTTGGACGGTTTCCGCGCGAACGACGCTCGGACAGGTCGAAAATCTTGTTTACGAGCTTTCGTAACTCGGCATCGGCGCGTAATTTGCCCGCCGAATCGCGATCGACCAAGAGCACCCCGCCTCGCATACGCCACAGCTTACGATATACCTATCACTTATTCAGTGAGCTAGCAAGGTCCGGCGGGTAAGTAGCCGCTTGAAAAGTTTGCTCCAAGACCTCGTATCGACGTAGGCGGCCCGTCAAACGATCCAGGAATATTCTGTTTCAACCATTCGACACAGAACTGCTCCGCGTTTTAGGGGGCTGTTTTGTGAAAGTGCACGCAAAACGTGGAGGATCTTTGTTAGCTACGTAAAATTGACATTTTCTTGGGGCGTGAAATTGTCGGGAATTAAAAAAATGGAGGTTGAATTTTTGTTTCGAATCGTGAAGAAAGTACGAATGGGTGGAGGGTTAAGTACTTGCACTCGTCATTGGATCACGTCACCGGGAAAAATTTGTGTTTCTTATCTGTTAGAAATTTGTTGGACAATTGTGTGAAAAGTAAAGCGGAAGTTCAATTTTGTTTTGAATCGAAAGGAAGCTATGAATAGTAGAGAGTTAAGTGTATTCATCGCTGGATTATGCACCGGAAAAGTTCTCCTTTCCTACTTATTACAAATTTGTTGGAAAATTTTGTGAAAAGAAAGCGGAAGCTAAATTTTAGTTTGAACCGCAAAGAAATTGCGAGTGGATAGAGGGTTAAGTACGCTAGATTATGTCACCTTAGCTGTCGGAAATTTGTTAGAAAATAATGTGAAAACAATGCGGAAGTTAAATTTTATTTCGAATCTCGAAGAAATTACGAATGGGTGGAGAATTAAATGCTCTAGATCAGGGGTTCCCAAAGTTTATTAGGCGGGCCATTGGCAGTTAAGACAATAAAATGTATACAATCTGTATACACCTATCCCCTGATTTACACGGAAGGTCGGTTCCTCAGAATACCGTGTAAATCGAAATCATGGCTTTTTGTATGAAAAACCGTGTAAATCGAAAAAAAAAAAAATAAAGTGGGCACAATTTAGTCAGTTATTTAATTAAATTAAATTTAATTAAATAAAGTAAAAATAAAATACAAATGGAAAACAAAAAATATCAGTCCATTCATGAAATAATAAATATATAAAGCTATATGTAATTCATTTTATAAAAACTAGAAATACGAAATTCATAAAAGATTAGTCCAAAGGTCAAATTTTTGTTTTCAACAGTATGTATATCTTAAAAAACATAAAAATAACGGTCTATTCATAAAATGATAAAAATATAAAGGTATATGTATGTAATTCATTTTACATATAGAAACAAGAAGTATAAATTAAAAAATTTAACCAAAAATTTAATTACTGTTATCACTTTCGTAGACCATTAATATTTTATTCCTGGTTGGTATGATGTCACTTTCATCACTCGATAGTACTTGATGCGATTCAAGTTCGATGTTAGATGAATTAGAAACAATTTCAGATCGGCGAGCCTTGGTAATGAAATCCGTAATTAACAATTGTGTTTGGTTTTTGATCAGATCTTTATAGACCTCCTCATATTGAGTTAAGCGCTTATTAATATCTCGCTGAAATAGGAGTAAAAGCCGTGTAAAAGTGAAATCGTGTAAATACAGTACCGTGTAAACCGGGGGATAGGTGTAATAACGAGGTATAACACCACCGGCCAAAAGTTTGGAATCACCTCCCACTTTTCGTCAATATTAAATCTGCTGCTAATTTTTTACAGATTTGAAGTTTATCTCAATTCTACATTCATCAATTTATCTCGTATGAATTGATTCGAACGATGAAAAATTCTCAAAGTCGCTGACTTTTTTCTGTAAATTTTTCAATGCTCGGTGATTCCAAACTTGTGGCCGGTAGTGTATTAATTTTTTCGTACAAATGTAAATTATCTGTGTAAATTCAAGATCGCGGCTGATCTGCCATCGCGGGCCGCACTTTGGGAACCCCTGCTCCAGATTATGTCACCTTATTTATTAGAAATTTGTTAGAAAATTGTGTTAAGCTAAATTCTGTTCAAATCTCGAAGAAGCTATGAATGGACAGAGTCAAGTACACCGTTCGCTAGATTATGTCACCGGAAAAACTTCTCTCCCACCCGACTTCCTTCTCCTCGTGATTACTTGGAACATTTCCATCGCACATGCATCAAATTCGCAACGCTCCCTTCTCTTCCTCCGATATCTTCTCCGTTCCGGAGAAGCCGGTATTTGCAACTTTAACGAAATTACACGTAACGAAGCCCTCGCATCCTTCGCGGCACGTATACACGTATTAGTCGGTTCAGCGTGTGTTCTCCTCGCGTCGATGGATTCTCTGGCCACGGTAATTGCATTTTTCATTTATCCTCGCGAGTGGAATCGTCCGAAGGGAGAAGGAGGAAAAGAATCGGAAAAGGGGGGGGGGGAGAGAACAGAGAGAGTTTGGCGCAAAAGCGTTCCTGGATATCCGTTTTTATCGGTGATCCGCTGTCCAATTAAATTTCGAGCCGGATCGCTTGCGGAAATGTGACTGGTGTTACGGCCAGATAGAATCGATACCGGAGAGTTGGAACGAAGAGGGCATGTGTGTCTATGGCTGATCGTTGGCGGTTGGCGAAAAACGAACGAACGCGGGCGAAACTAAATAGGGAGAATCGAAGGCTGGCCGACTCATTGACCGGCGCGATTTCACGCAACACCCGCCTTCCGATCGATCGCTTTTAACGAGTTCGCGCGAGTTCTCCGCGCTTCGTTGTTAATTAACCGTGCCTCCTGAATTCAGTTTCGTGGTTCCGTCGAGAGTAGGGCTGTTCTGATCGCGTGGCCACGCGAATTACAAAATCTAATCATCCCTCCCTTTTCCTCTGTAATCGATCCCGACACATTTCGCTTCTCGATATACTCTCGAGAAAAGAGATTCGCACGTAGAAGAAATGTCTGTCGTCCGTTTAACTGTAAATGGGTTAAATTTGCATACTCGGCGGAATACTTGGAAGCCAGTAGGGGAGAAATTGGTCCGCGAGGGCAATGATGGTATTGGCGGAGCAGACAAGGGTTAGGGGAGAGGTGT